TCACGGAAGCCAATAAAGAACCTTTACTTTTAAGTGTACTGAAAGGTTGACCAACGGTGGGAATTCAGAAGCAGCCTTGCTCAAATGAACAAAGTTCCTTTGATCTACATGGAATACTGTTGATTTTTCACAAATTCAACTCGGAATCATAAAGCTGTTCAGTGCTCATTAGGAACCCAAAGGAACCTGCAAGATCCACTTGGTGTGTGAGAGGTAAATGCCTTTCCCTGTGGTCCCTGATATCAGTCTTAAAGCACACTTTTCCATCATCTCCACTCATGTTCAGATCAGATATGACGGATGGGGTTTCTGTAATCACCTGAAGCCCATGGAACGCCCCAAATATGTTCACCCACTGTGCGATCAAACCTTCAGAGGACATCTCAAGGCTTTGATTCTGAGTCAGGCCTGAATCTTCTCAGTTGATCCTGGTCCAGCTGGGCCTTCAGATGCTCCAAGTCTACCTGTCCAAGTTCATTTTCAAGCCTGGGCTGCTTGGAACCTGATGGACAGTTCAAGCTGGTGTCCTCAGCTTCTTCACACAGAAGGTCATTCCAGCTGGACCACAGCCGCCGCTTGAGCCCTGATGTCGGCCTTTCTGTGTCAGTGGTGGAGTTAGTTAAAGCTGTGGAAGATGGATCTTCCTCTGTCAGCAGAGGGATCCAGGAGTGTTCAGAAGAATAATCCTCTGTTGGCCTCACAAGAGTGCGGTGAGATACTGAGTCCCTCTGGAATGATGTTGTCAGGACCTAGTAGACAGGAAGTGGAATTGACAAACAGTCATTGGAGGGTGTGACACTGAAAATGTGGAGGTCTTACTGCCCTCTGCTGAAGTTTCACAGATTCATGTGTAATGTAATGTAACCGTTTAGAAAAACATAGTTGCAGTCCTGACTTCTGAATGGTCAATTCAGCGTTTATGTCTCAATTCTAATATTAAAGATATAGTAATATTTATAATGCGAAACCTGCAAATAATTCCCATTTCACCCATAAACTGTTTAATATATATAAATATAAAAATTATATATTTAATGAAAAAATAAAAAAGTAAAATGCTGTTCACAATGCATTTTATTTCAAAATATGGTGAATTTCAGGGTGAAACAGGATATTCAGTTAGAAAATTGGTTGGGAATTAACTGAATGGTGAAAGTGAGTGTTACATACTGTAATGGAGCAAAGACAATCTTTTTTTTTTTTCATTGGAATAACATGCACAGGTGAAGCGTTCACAAGTCCAGGAATGTGCAGTAAGAAGATACATTTCTGAATTTATGCTGAATTTATGTTGGGATTTCAAGTTCTGGAATTTGTTTTTTCATAATCTCTGTAATCTATGGAAGCCTGTTACTAAGATTAATTTTTAAAAAGGTAAAAACAAACAAAAAACAGTTCTCCTCTTAATTCTGAGTTTATACAGAGTTTTCCTCAAATATAAACTCTCAATTCTAAGAAGAGGTCAGAATTGTGAGATGTGGATATAAGGAATTCTGATGTATTCACTTGATTATTTTCTGAAAAAAAATGCTTTACATCTAGTATTGTGACGTAATGTTCAGTCTGCTTAGCCAGATTTCTCAGCGGGGCATTTGTCTCCTTCAGGGCAGATATTTCCTCTTGCTTTCTCCTGAGTGTGGCATGAAGCTGCAGAGAGAGACACATGATTATTACTCACTAATACAGTTAGTGAAGTATGTGAGCATCAGAGATAATGTAATTCACATGGTGATCTAGTCAAACATGTGCCCTCAAAACATCATGCACAGAATGAGCTCATTCACAATCATTCAGTTTGCATACCTGAACAAGTAAAGAATCATTATCACGCTCATGCATTTTCATAAGAAACAATGTATCGGACCACATGCAGCATAATCTGGATAGATTGCTCCGTTATTTGAATCACAAGTATAGGGATGCACTGACAAACTGTGGTCTGAATGACACTTGCTTAGGCAAGATAATCATTTCTGAGTCACTAAGCAATATAACGCACCAAAAAGAGAAGTGGTCGACAATTATGTCACATAGGACATTTTTTATGTGGATATCAGCAGCTGCAGTGTGTGAATATTTTTTTCATTCTAGTTCTCTAAAATGTTTTTAACTCACTTAATCCCATGGGTTACATTTGTGAGAAACTTGGAGTTTTTACATGAATAAAGCTATTTAATTCCAGTTTACCTCTTTGAAAAATGGTCTGTTTTGTTACATTAAATGAAAACAAAGTCAAATGTAAAAGAAATATACATTTCTGTTTAACAAACCATTGGCTTTTATATTATGTAACTTTAGTGTGTACAGCTAGACTTATTTGGTTGAGAAATTGAGCATGTGTTGACTGTCACTGGTTACAATTGTGACCAAGAAAAAAACACACTTTGACTAACTTCTTAGAAGCTTTTTTTTAGAAAAGCCAAGCAGTTTCAGTTTCAATGGCAAATCCACGGAGTAAAATACAAGATGGCGCCGCTGAGTTCGGATGCCGTCCAGGTCGCTCCACTTAGATTGTGCTTTTATTTACTTTTTTTCTTTCTTTTGCTCTCTCTTTTTACACACATATCGTCTGCACTGATCACTTACGACAAAAGACATCTTAATATTTATGAAGTCTACAGAATACTGTCCTGCGCATTTTATTTTATTCGTTTTTTTTTTTTCATATCTATATTTATATATAATTTTCTTGTGTTTGTATTCTTTAATAATTGCACTGTCCATGGAGCGGACCTGACTTACATTTCACTGCTGGTCATATATTCTCTATATAACCATGTATGTGACAAATAAAAATCTTGAATCTTGAACATGTAGTCACCTATCTGAGGAGGATTTGGGAATAAATGAGCTCATAGTGGGATATTTTGGCTGATTCTTGGGCTAGGGCTGTTTTTGACTTCAAAAAACAAAAAAGGAAATCTATGTTCATCTACATTCATCACATATCTTGGAATAAATAATGGATCATGGCCTTGAACAACCTTCAGGTGAACTTTGGTATTATGTGTGACTTTCTTCCATTTTTTTGGTCAAAAGTTTGGATAAACCTTGGAAACTTGGCCCAACAAGTCAGCTATCAGTCAATGACCTTTAAATTTGTCAAATTAAAACAGAAATGAACTGCTTCTGCATTGAACCCACCCGTCTATTCAGATCTAGAGAGAGATCCAGATCTGTGTGGTCTTCATGTGTCATCAAATATGTGTCAGTGGATTGACACTCACCTGTGAATAAGATACAAAATAAAAATAACGGCACTGCAATAAGAATTGTTTTTTTTTTTTTTTTACAATAATATACAATAAAATATACATAAAATGATAAATAATCATTTATAAAGTCTAATACAACAATAATAAAACGTATTACATTGATAACGACAAAACACAATGATAGTAACAAGTATTCACATTTTTCTCAGGTATAATAAATACTCCAGACACTGCTGCTGTGCCGGGATTAATACTTCACAAGCGATCTATAGCTGTTTGTGTTCAGAGAACAACTGCGTTCTTACAGCATTCCGTAGTGCAATGTCACAAGAGAATAAAGTTTTAGGATGCACATTTCTTTAAATATTCCTAATGTCGGCAACATTTTACATTGTCAACAGTTTCCACCTGGCCTTTCTATTCTATTCGTCTAGTCTAGTCTAGCAGTGAAGCACTGATCACTTTGTGGTTGAAGACCTTTCCCTGCTGGAAACAACTATGTTGTTGATGGGTTTGTCAGGAAGTACACTAATTTGAGACCTTAGTCTTTGCAACTTTACAGATCTGCTTTATGCACCAAGAGCTTGTAACACTCCAAAGAGAAAGGAAAAATTGAAATCGCATCCTATGACCCCTTTAAAAGAGTATCAGATTACCATTATTACACTAAAAGACATAATGCTTTTTGAGGCCCTTTTTTGTACTAAATAATATGAATAAAATTCCATTCTCAAAGTCCACTGTGTAAGGGAAATTACCCAAGTTAAAGTTTTAATGTCTGTATTTATTCATCTGTAATAATTATACGTCAAACTTGAGACATGAATCTTAACCAGTTACATACAATGTTACATTTACAAGACCATAATTTGATATTGCATTCACTTCTATCAATAACAAAACAATTACATTATAACCACAAGATTGTTCGTCTGCATTCCTACCGACTTAAAGGAAAAAAACAAAAACAAAACAACTGTCAGTCTATTATGATAATGGATTTAACGAATACCATTTTAATGTCTTAAAATATTTTTATTCTGGTTTGGCAAT